TAACATAAAAGATTTATATGTTTTGTTTTTAAATGAGCTTATGAGTGGAAACTGAGACTAATTTTAACTTAGCTCAGACACTGGTTCAGACAGAATATAGTAAACAGTAACAATGTAAAATTATGATATAGAATAACAACTCTTCTAAAACTTTCTTCCAAAGAGATTAAGGCACATCTATTCAGTTAGTCAATTAATATTTCAGTACCTGCTATGCACCAAGAATTGGTCCAGGCACGAATGAGCAATGCCCAGAACACCCAAGAGTCCCTAATTTCATGAAGGTTTAATGGGGAATAGAGAGACATAAACTGTTAATAACATAACTTTGAAAAGTAATGAGCACTATACAGAAGAAAGGGAGATAGAAGGATCAAATTGCAGGGGAGGAAAAAGGGAAACTGGTTTATATCGTACAGGTTAGGTAGAGGATACAACATATGAGCTAAGAAGGGAACAATGGACAAAGCAAGCAATGCAATAAACAGGAGGAAAGCCTGGTGATTGGAATCAGCTCAACCACTTATTGTTCAGGATACCGCAAAGCAACAGTGTGGCTATAGTGGAGTGACTCAAGGAGAGAAGTACAGATGAGCTCAGAGGTAAGCAGATCCCAGATCAATGTAGGGCCTTATAGCTAGTGGGGGGAAAAGGCAAGATTCTAATGTAAGTGTGATGGAGAACCTCTACAGAGTTTTTAGCAGGGGAGTAACATGTTCTATATTTTAAGAAGGTAACACTAGCTGCTGTTCCAAAGTAGGCTAATACGCAGGCCAGGCAGTAAGTGATGGAAGTGAACAGAGGTTTGAAAGAAACAGAGGGAAAGTGTCTGATTGAGCATATATATATATTCAAAGCAGAACCTACAGAATTTACTACTGGATTAGATACAGGCATCTAAATGAGATAGCAACTAGGTGAACAGTAGTCCAGAAAATTACCTTATATTTATACAATTAGTCATTTTACAGTAACAAGAGACAAGGAAAGGTTACACTAATCAAGATCCAAATTCCACCTCTTGACACCTTTGGCTTAGGAAAGTCATCTAAGTCAGTTTCCAGACTGCAAAACATATTTTCTGTATCACAAAAATGTCTCTAAGAATCAAATGGTTAAGAAATCTACAGCTAGTTCTTTAAAGCCTGGGCGGTGGCTCACACCTGTAATCCCAGCACTTTGGGAGGCCAAGGTGGGGAGAATCACAAGGTTAGGAGTTCGAGAGCAGCCTGGCTAATATGGTGAAACCCCATCTCTACTAAAAATACAAAATTAGCCAAATGTGGTGGCATATGCCTGTAATCCCAGCTATTCGAGAGGCTGAGGCAGGAGAATTGCCTGAACCTGGGAGGCAGAGGTTGCAGTGGGCCAAGATTGTGCCACTGTACTCCAGCCTGGGCGACAGAGGGAGACTCCGTCGAAAGAAGAAAGAGAGGAGAGAAAGAGAGAAAGAGAAAGAAAGAGGAAGGAAGGAAGGAAGGAGAAAGGAGGGGAGAAGGAAAGGAAAAAGAAAAGAAAAAAGAATGAAATCTATAAATGTAAATAATGAACATTATACATTAGGAAAGCATAATATTAACAGTCATGCAAATCAAGCCACTTTATTTTATTATTTTCATTAGACTAGAATGGTAACACTGATGTTATAATCAACACTAAATTTCATCCTTTGAAAGTCAAAGGTCAGTCAGGGCACAGTAGTTCGTACCTGTAATCCGGGCACTTTGGGAGGTTGAGGTAGGTGGATTGTTGGAGATCAAGAGTTTGAGACCAGCCTGGACAACAGGGCAAAACCTTGTCTCTACAAAAATTAACTGAGTGTGGTGACATGCACCTTGCAGTTCCAGCTACTCAGGAGGCTGAGGTGGGAGGATCATCTAAGACCAGGAAATAAAGACTGTGGTGAGCCATGATCCTGTTACTGCACTTCAGCCTGGGAAGCAGTGAGACTGTCTCAAAAAAAGAAAAAAGAAAAAAGCCAAAGATCACCCAGAAATAAAACAAATTAACAGTCCAAGCAACAAAGGTATGCCCCTTTTGCCTCAGGAAAATACCACTACCCCAACTACTACACAGAACTTTGTATAGTAGTTGACAGAAAAGAGGCAAATTTTTAAAATAAATTCTGATCTTTTTTTTTTTTTTTTTTTAAAAAAAGCATTTTCACTGATTATGGAACAACCTACATAACACAAACATGGGCACTTAAAAAAATCTATTATTTTAATCCTCTGTAAGGATCGGAGAAAACCATCCTTTTAAGCTATAAATGACATTAAACTAATAAGATAAAACCCAAATCAAGGCACCATTCATTAGATAGATGTTCTCAGCAAGACACCGTAAAATTAAGATTATATATTACAGTATGTTACTACTGTCTTAGTTTGAACAGCAAAATGTAATGCCCAGTGTTAATTAAATTACTATATGCCAAATGAATTAAATCATGAGGACTTCAACTTACTGCCTTAAACCATTTCTGTAAATTTATAAACAAGGTTCCACAGAATTTATTTTTTCATTCAAGGCTTTCATATTACTGTGTATATCTTCATAATCAAAAATGGAAAAAATGCTTGTTAAACGTTTAGATCACTATGTATTTTAGAGAATTATCATGAATGTCAACTTGCATTATATACTTAGTCAATAACCTAAGTAACAAAAACTCAAGGATATTTGGTGTATGGCTGTATCACTTCCTATTCATTTTTCAACTGGGGCCTCAATAAACATGATCTTTGGGGACCAGGTGACTGCATTATAACTAAAATCACATTGTAAGGACCTGCCAATACATAAGAAATGAGAGAAGTAAAACAGATTGTCAGTGAGCACTAGAGTCTAATAACGTGAACCTTCATAATGCGAAATCTGTTGTGTGTGCATTTGTCTAGGACTCTATCCAAGGAGTTTAAACTGTCAAAGAATTTCTACCATAGGAAAACGTCTTATTTCTCTATATCAAGCACCCTTAGGTCAAGGACACCTCCCTCATCTCAGATATATTTAAATGAAATTGCATGAAGCACTACACAGTACATGCATCTCCCTATAAATTTTACAAGAATGAACAAGATTAACATACACATTTGCCAGGTTATATCAAGCAAAATGATGCTGCAATTTCGTCACCTTAACTGGCGCATTTAGCCACACAAATGTTCAACTAATTTCCCTCATAAAAACTGACACAAAAATTTAAGATTTAGTTGTTGTGGATGGCAAGAAACATCTCACATCTGAAGACTTGTTAATATTTGGTGAAGACCAAATATTGGAGAAAGTTGCAGAGGGAGTGGTAATACACTATATTATATATATAAAAAAAAATTTTGGTGAAGACTTTACAAAATCAAAGAATTGAAAATGTTATGGATCAACATGTACTTGTCAAAGCACAGTATTAATAAACAACCAATTAATAATTAGAGCGCACCAAATCGAGAGGCAAAAGATTTCACAAGCTCCCCTATAGAGGCCAGGCAGGAAGATCTCTGAGGCCAGAAGTTTTGAGATCAGCCAGGGCACTACAGCGAGGCCCCATCTCTAAGAAAAAGAGAGCGCGGAGAAGAGAGAGAGAGAGAGAGAGAGAGAGAGAGAGAGAGAGAGAGAGAGAGAAGAGAAGAGGAGAGGAGAGGAGAGGGAGAGAATCCCCCAGAACTGCGGCCCTCCCCCAGCCTTGCTGTTAAAACTATTTCCTCGGAACAGCTCTGAAAGAGTTTGCCAACCAGAGTAAAATCACTTCGCAAAGATAAACGAGCGGAAACGTATTTAGACGAGAACGCGGAAGCAAGGGGAGCGGGACGCGGAGCCCCCACGTTCCCGGACTCAGATAGCAGCGGTAGCCAGGGGCGAGCATGTGCTGACCGCGGCAAAGCACGGGCGGGCCTCCAGAGCCACCTCCCGGGGCGCAGGGCCCCGCCCGGCTTGACCCTCCCGGTTCATTCATTCTGCACCCGCGGCTGCTGCACCTCCGCGCCCCCGTCAGGGCCAAGAAGAGGGGCCCGGTGGCCGAGAGACCCTGTCGGGCCACAACCCCCGCCCGGAGTCCGAGCCCCCACCGCGATTCCCGCGCGCCCAAGGCCTCCGCCGTGGGGTGGTCTGAGAAGCTACGGAGGCCCGCGCCCAAGCCCAGAGTCCCGCAGCCTTGCTGCTCCACCCTCCGCCGGGGCTCGGGCCAGGACTCCCTAGCCCGACGGGTGGCCGCCTGGAAGCCCCCGGTCCCCGCTGCCCCGCTGCCCCGCCGCGGCCGGAAGTCTCCCCGGCGCCCCCTCCCCAGCACCCGACTTCCCTCTCCGCCGCGGCCAGACCCTCTCAGCGCCGGCTCAGGCCTTCCAGCGAGGGCCGCGAGCCGAAGGAGGCGAGAGGCCGTGCTGCCCGCCCAGCCGAGCCGACAAGAGCAGAGCGGAGGGCTGGAGGCCGGCCTGGGCGGTTACCTTGATGATCCTGCGGGGCAGCCCGGCCATCTTGTCAGAACCCGAGTTCGGCCTCTGGTCTCGTCTCCGGCTCCGCTCGCCTCACGCACGAGTGGAAGTCCCGAGCTCCACTTCCGGGGGACGTTACCGCGCCCGTCACCGCAGCTGCCGCCGAGGCCCCTCGGGAAATGTAGTCCCTGCTCCGGCGCGGGCTTGGACATGGGCGGGCTTCCCTCCGACCTGGACCCCTCCCCCGCGCACCCCGCCCCAACCCCGGTTGGGGGTGGCGGAAGTGACGCTCTGCGGCGGGGCAGGGACTTAGGAGAGGCGGCGCGGAGCTGTGGCGCTCGTGGCCGAGCCTGCCCACGACGGTGGTACTGCGCGGCTCGCGCGCGCGCGCGCGAGCCTCTTAACCGTAGCCACGCCCGCACCGGTGGGCGACGTAACAGAGGAACAGAGACCCGGCCTCCGACGTAGGCCATTCATTCTTTCGCGCGTTCGTTCATTCAGTTCTGCCTGCATTGCGCGCGTTCTCGGCTGGCACTGCAGTAAACGACTGCGGTGGGGCTGATCCGCTTAGTCTTTCCTCAAAGGGAGGGTAAGACCGAAACTCGGTGGCAAAGCTCTGACTGGGGGGGGTCTCTCCAGTTACCCACACCCTGTTGAGGGAATTTTGATGTTTAAATTGTATAAATCAGACCTCTAACACGCCCCTTGGACCTCAGGTAGGCTGAAGGAAAAGGATTTGAAGCGAGTTGGAGGCGGGAAAAATGGTTGTGAACGCCTGGACACAGCGGCCGAGACAGAATTGCTAACAGGACGAATGACCAAGGAGAGGTTTAAAGAACCCAGAGTAATCCGTAAACGAGAGATAACCCATGGAGTGCAAGGTCTTATGAGAGAATTAGAGTGGAGATGCCCGAAAATTGAATTGCTGGGGAAGTATTTTGTCTTGATGATGGATGGCTTGCTGTGTGATGGACTGTTTGCAAACATTTTACTCATCTTCACAGCAATCGTAAGAAGAGGTGTTATTTCCATTTTACAAATGAGGCTTAGAGAATTAACTTTTTCCAAGGTTGTGGGAGGAGAAAGTGGAGCTGTTTTGTCCCCAGGCAAGTCTGCCAAGACCTGGCCCTTAGCTACTTAACCACAGTGCTTCCTAGCACAGTAACAAACAGTAGATGGTGAATAAATGAAGACAGGGCTGACCATGCCTTCCGAGAACTTAGATTCCAATGGAGTAGAAAGACAAGTAAACGATTAGTTACAATCCAACGCGTTAAGTGCTGTAATAGAGGTTCCTCTAAGGTGCTATTTTAGCGGAGAGGCATTACCTGCTTGAGAACTCAGGGAAGCCTTCTTGAAGAAGTGGAGTACTAAATGATGAGTAAGAACCTATCAGACCTGGTAGGGAAGAGGATGCCAAGCATAGGAAATTGTCCATGAAATGGCATTATGAGAGAGACAAAATAGTGCCCTAAAGAAACTGGAACTCTGAATGCAAGAAACCTACTAAGAACAATGAGAAATAGTTTGTGCTGGCACAATGCTAAATGATTACATAGAATAATATATCATTTAATTATAAAGCAGATGAGGTAGGCTCTATTATTGATAGAACGTATTAGATGAGAAGCCAAGGCTCAAAGGATAATAATGAGAATTTCAAATAACCAGAAGTCTGAAATAGGTGGTTCTGTGACTAGAAGAATCTGCAAATGTAAATGAGACTGGACAAAGGTACTTTTCATAATATTTTATAGAGGACCCAGGATAATTCATGCTGGTAGGCAGAATAGCAGAGCACTATTGTGTTGGAAGTGTATAAGTCTGCTGTCTGGACAGGGCTTGATAGGAAAGCACGCTCTCCTTGTGTTGCATCAGCCTGTGCAGACAGAAGATTGACTTCCATGATGGTTCACAAGGCGGGCAAGTTGGTACTGGCTGTTAGTTTCACTCCAAGTGAGGCTCTTCCTGGGGCATCTTGGGCTTCCCCACTGCATGGTGGCTGGGCTCCAAGAGTAAGTGTTGCAGCAAGCTAAAATGGATGCTAAATCGCCTTTTTTGACCTAGCCATGCAAATTACAGATGGCATCACAATCACCATAATACAGCAGTCAACCAGCCTCAAAACCCACCCTGTCTCAGGGGCAGGGGACATGGACACCACCTCTTTTTTGTTTTTGTTTGTTTGTTTTTTAGTAGAGATGGGGTTTCACCATGTTAGCCAGGATGGTCTTGATCTCATGACCTCTTGATCTGCCCACCTCAGCTTCCCAAAGTGCTGGGATTACAGGTGTGAGCCGCCACGCCCATCCAGACACAACCTCTTGAACAGGGAGCGGCAAGACTCTAGAAACTAACAGAATATATGTGATGGAAAGTATGATTGTGGCCAACTTTGGAAAACAAAATTCTCATCAGAGTATGGTTACCAGCCACCTGCCTTGGAATCGCCTGGGGTGCTGGTTTAAAAAAAAATTCTGGAGCTAGAGCCCTCCCCCCAGGGATTTTAATTCTCCAGGTCAGTGCTGAGACCTGGGAATCTGCATTTATACATCAGGGTAATTTTGATGGATACTAATATTTGAAGACAAAAAAATTCTGAACAAATGAGAACAAAAAAAATGATAAGCAAAACAAAAAAAGGTGCCAGGTGCTTTTCATTTTTTCTTTCTTTTTTTCTGAGACAGAGACTCACTCTGACGCCCAGACTGAAGTGCAGTAGTACGATCTCGGCCTACTGCAACCTCTGCTTTCAGGATTCAAGCAGTTCTCCTGCCTCAGCCTCCAGAGTAGCTGAGATTACAGGCATGCACCACCACCCCTGGCTAATTTTTGTATTTTTAGTAGAGATGGAGTTTCACCATGTTGGCCAGGCTGGTCTCGAACTCCTGGCCTCAAGTGATCCAGCTGCCTCAGCCTCCCAAAGTTCTGGGATTACAAACTGAGCCACTACGCCAAGCCTCCTTTTGACTGTTTTCTATCAGAACAGACAATAAGTATCATTCAGGTTAAGAGTGAGAGCTCTGGAGCCCCCAGCCTGGGTTTGAAAACATACTTTGCTTAATTTCTCTGTCCTTCATTTTCTTCACCTATTAAATATACTTAACCGTCATGTGGTTTTCATGAAGTTTAAATGATATAATTTGTATAAGGCATTTACAACAATATGCAGCACTTAGCAATCACTATTATTTTTTATAATTTGATAGAACCATGTATAGTTTTCTTTAGGAAGCCAGATTTTTAAAACTTGATAGTATAACCTTGTTTGGTAGAGATTGGTTTGATGGCATGAAATTCTCTGAGAGTATTATTTAAAATATACATTTTCCCTGTCTCTCCAAATTGTTTTTTCTGTTCTTTCCCTCCTGAGGACAGCTCAGACTACACTCATCTGGAAACTAAAATCTGAACTTCTGATTCATATAAATCCTGTGGAACAGGATATTTTCTGGAATAACAGGTTGCCACAGAGCTGAGATAAGGTTCTCCAATTAGAAGGCTAGTTAAGAATCCTATTTACTGGCCGGGCGCAGTGGCTCAAGCCTGTAATCCCAGCACTTTGGGAGGCTGAGACGGGTGGATCACGAGGTCAAGAGATTGAGACCATCCTGGTCAACATGGTGAAACCCCATCTCTACTAAAAATACAAAAAATTAGCTGGGCATGGTGGCACATGCCTGTAATCCCAGCTACTCGGGAGGCTGAGGCAGGAGAATTGCCTGAACCCAGGAGGTGGAGGTTGTGGTGAGCTGAGATCGCGCCATTGCACTCCAGCGTGGGTAACAAGAGCGAAACTCTGCCTCAAAAATAAAAAAAAGAACTCTATTTACTATATCGAATACAGAGATAGACAACAAAACAGTGGCTACCCAAGCAGGTTGTGGGATGGAGTGATGGAGAATCAGAGATGTAGTTAAGAGGATGCGAAGTAGCAGACATTCAGGATGAACAAGTGTAGAGAGCTAATGTACATGAGAGCTATCGGTAGTAAGTTTACACTATATGTGAGATTCATGCTAAATAAGTAGATTTTAGCTACTCTTGTCATAAAAACAAAAAAATAGGTAACTGTGGAGATGATGGATATGTTAATTTGCTTCCACATAGTAACCGATTTACTGCTGATACACTATCTATTCCATACCATCATGTTATATACCTTCAATATACACAATAATTTTTTGGGGCCAGGCACAGTGGCTCACCCCTATGACCCCAGCACTTTGGAAGGCTGAGGCAGGTGGATCACTCGAGATCTCTACAAAAGTACAAAATTAGCCAGGTGGCACATGCCTGTAATCCCAGCTACTTGGGAGACTGAGACAGGAAAATCGCTTGAACCCAGGAGGTGGAGTTTACAGTAAGCCGAGATGATGCCATTGTACTCCAGCCTGGACAACAAGAGCTAAACTCTGTCTCAAAAAGAAAAAAAAAAAAAAAAATGAGACAGAGTCATCTCACTTGTTGCCCAGGCTGGAGTACAGTGGTATAAACATGGCTGACTGCAGCCTCAGCCTCCACCACCTGGGCTCAAGTGAGCCTCAGCCTTCTGAGAAGCTGAGACTACAGGTACACACCACTATGCCTGGCTAATTTTTTAACTTTTTTAGAAACGAGTTCACCATGTTGCCTAAGATGGTCTTGAACTCCTGGGCTTAAGCAACCCTTCCTGAAGTGCTGGATTACAGGTGTGAGCCACCTTTCCTGGCCAAAACTTATTTTTTTAAATCCTATTTACTATACTAATAAAATATGGATAAAATAGGATATCTAAAAAACTAGTTGATCATGTACCTCATAAATATATATACCTACTATATACCCACAAAACATTTTTTTAAAAAACTACTTGAGTTCCTTCAGAGGTGGGATGTTTAACAGAGAACAAAGGTAAAAGGAAAGCTTTTTACTCTGTACTCTCATACGTTTTGAATTATGAACGTGTGAATGTTTTACCTATTCAAAATGTGAAATATTTATTCAGTTCACTCATTTCAATAGACTGCTCAAGAGGTATTCAAAGCTCTTACAGTGCTGATCAGGAATTATATAATACACTCAAAACTCAGCAAAAAAATGCTGTTCCAGGTCCATGGGACTGAATAAATGATAACAGTGGCCAGATAGCTTCACTAAGCAGAACAGTGCTAGCCAGAACTTTTTTTTTTTTTTTTTTTTTTCAGGTGTCTTGTGTTGGAACAGACTCTTATTTTTTATTTTTTTAAGAGACAGGGTCTTGCTCTGCTGCCCCAGGCTGGAGTGCAGTGGCTCAATCATAGTCACTGTAGTCTCCAGCTCCTCCCCACTCAGCCTTTACCATGCCTGGGTAAATTTTGTAGAGACTAATTTTTGTAGAAACTGGGGCTGGCTATGTTGTTCAGGCTGGTCTCAACTTCCTGGTCTCAAGAAATTCTCCTGCCTCTGCCTCCCAAAATGTTGGACTTACAGGTGTGAGCCACCACTTCTGGCCCAGAACTCTTGTGTTTTTTTTTGAGACAGTCTCGCTCTGTCACTCAGGCTGGAGTGCTCGACTCACAGCAACCTCCGCCTCCCGGGTTCAAGCAATTCTCCTGCCTCAGCCTCCCC